GGCCCGCTGCACTCAGCACATCTTCCAGAGACCCCGCGCTGCCGCAGACGCCAGGGCTCCCTTCCTTTTGAAGAGTGTATGCTATTCCCTGATGGGTCAGCCACGCTCCTGGGGCCCTGGGCTGCCACAGTCGTGGGTGTGTAAGCCCCACCAGGCCTTGTGTTCTACACTGCGGTGTGGACCTGGCCGGCCACATAGCGAGGGCACCGTGGTGCTCCTGGGCCTGGGCTGGCAGGACTTGTGGTTGCAGCAGAGCCGCAGCGGTGAACTGGTGCAGCCTCACTCTCGGTGACGTCCCAGCATCCTGGCACCAGGCGGCAGGGCCACGAGTCCTTCTATCAGGGCGGCCTAGGGCACACGTCCCTGGAGTCCCTGGGAGTGTGAGGCTGTTAGCCACGCAGACTGCTGCTGCACTCAGAAAGCCCAGGCCCCGTGACTTCTGGGCTCTGGATGCCCCAACCACGACCCAGTACTGGCAGGTGACTGGGTTAGGTACCAGGCCGGCGGGCGGCTTGGAGAGAGAGGTGGTGCGGGCAGGCCCGGAAGGGTTCCCTGCCTCCAGCCCTGCCTCCCCTGCCTGCCTCACTGTCCCTTCTTCTCCGGAGCTGGCCGAGCCCAATGAAGCCAAAACAAACCGCTCCTCCCTTAGCTGTGCGAACCGGGTGCTTTGTCTTAGCCACAAGCAAAGTGACCAAGACAGGGATTCTCCAACTTTTATTTCTCCAGATGTACAAAGCAAAATTTTGCTTTTCCAGAAAACTTTTCCTCAAATTCAGTTAATGTGAACTTCATGCCTTGTAGCAAAGGTATCAATATAGAGAAAGGCGGTTTGCTAGGAAATTATGTGTAAAGCATTCTCAAGCTGAATCATAAAATCCTCTTAAATATCCCCCTTCTGAACTAATGTCCTCCCGAAAGAGAACCCATCTTTAAGGTCTAGTCCTACCTTATTATTTATATGGAAACACACCTCACACTTTAAACAGTTCCAGAAAGCACTTTTGTTTTTTTTAAAAAGAGTTGATATATATACCATAAATTAAAAATTTTAGAGCACACAATGTTTACCTCCAGATTTTATACACACACAGTGACAACTCTATTAGCAGTTTTTCATAAGAACATGGGCATGGCTTTCTTCAAGCCTGAGGTGGCAGGTGTTACTGTGGTAAGAAACATTTAAGCTGTTGTACTGTGGTGCCAAATATTTAACAGAAACCAAAGGAATTCAGTTCCAGATGCCAGTGTTAGGTCTGCATGACATCATTCGGCCAGATGCGTGGAAAATCTGGATTTTTAAGAATTGAATTTTTGTGGTCAGCATCATGAAGACTCAGTTTTTGGGTTAAATAAGACATTCATAAAAAATATTGGATGATAACATGCCTTGATTATAAAGAGAGAAATTGAATGGGACAGTGGGTACAATTCAGGACTGTGAATCACAGCACGTATAAAAGTGCCATGTACAGTGCAAGCCGGACATTTCCAAGCTGCACTGTAAAGCTCTTAAGGAAGCATGTTGAGCACGCTAGAGTTTTGAGGAAGGAAAGCAACCACCGGGCACAGCGCCTCAGACCCCACCTGCCCCTCACTGAGCTTGAACACAGCTCAGAAGCGCGGGGGAAACCGTCTTTCCATTTTACTATTTTCAGTCACGGTCATCGTGCGACTTCAAGCTCCCAGGAGGGCATCTGGGTAAGTGACGGGATGGAAAGGAGGCAAGGAGCTGGGAGACCCCAGGGTCTCGAACAGGAGGCGGCAGCAGCTTGGGAGACAGCAGCAGGCCAGGGTGGATGCCCACCCAGCTGTCCGGCCCGGCTGTGCTGCGGCCCCCAGCTTCTGAGCGACCTCTCTGACTGTGGCGCTGGCCCAGCAGAAGCCACAGCCCTTCCCACCGGGACGCGAGGCTGCTGGCTCCCTGGCGCCCACACAGGCCACGTCTCCAGAACCTCTCCCTGTGCCTCTGGTGAGCACAGAGGGCATCATCAGGAGCTGAGAGCAGATTCTCCCCAAACGAGACTCCACTGCACTCCACACCCGCGTCTCGGGCCTTGCAGCCGCTCCAACCTCTGCACAGAACTCGCCTGCACTCGCCCAAACTCTGGGCCTCGCACATGCGCCTGTCAACTGCCTGCCTCAAACACACCTTCCGACCCCAGCCAGCACCTTGCTCCCGGCTCACCCCTGCAGGCGCCCCCCCAAACTCACACGCTCATTCCCTCCCCCGTCTCGGATCTGCCAGTTCCCGGCCCCTCCCAGCATGCACCAGGCTCCACGGCCCTCTCTGTCTACCTGCACTGAGCACCTTCACCTGCCACAGCAGAAGCAGTTCTGGCACAGAAGCCTGTCCCACCCCCAGACCAGAGGCGGAGTTGCAGGCACATTTTCCATGACTCCAGAAGACACAAGGAAAAGGGGCCGAGGGCTGGGAGGGCAGGAGCCCGGGCAGAGGGGCTGGGCATGCGCCTGCCGAGCCAGAGGACAAGGTACAGCGCACCTGCGGAGTAACACAAGCTGCAGCACATACAGAAAAGAGGAGACGGCCCACCTGTGTCTGTTGAGGGATATTTACAAAGCTTGGGTCCCGTGGTCCAACACTGACGAATCGGTTTGCGGGGGAGGTGCTGGGTGTCGAGTAGGCTGTGAAGGGAAGGGACACATGGGTTCAGGAAGCAGCACGAGATTGCACACACACAACACCAAAACACACAGTCCCTGGGCCCGCGCTGGCTGGCAAGGAGATGTGTGGGCCCTGGCAGGGAGGGTGTCAGCTGCCCCGTGCTGGGAGGGACGTGTGCAGTGGGCATCTCCTCCTCCCAGCTCAGAGGACAGCGGCGGGGCAGCTCAAGTCCACTCTGTCAGAACAGCTCTGGGGGCACAGGGAGGGGAGGGCACAGTACGTGCTGCAACCCGGCCTCTCGCACGGTCACAGCTCTGACAGTCACGGGCTGGCCCTGAGCCGGACAGCAAGGGGGTCCAGGGAGGCGGAAGCCACGAAGAACACGCTGCCTCTGCAGTGCCCGGACTCGCCGGTGTGCTGAAACAGCGTGAGGTCCCCCCCAGCTGTGTTCCTCCTGAGCCCCTCTGTCAGGCTGCCAAGACCCCTGTGACCAAGGCAAGGCTCGGGGGCCCCTCCGTGGGAGTCTTCTGTCAGTTTTCCCATTTACATTAAGAGCTTCCGTTTAGTGAGAGCAAAAATTCAGGGGCTTGGGTTTTCCTGGCTCCTAAAACCAAAGGTACATTTTGTTTCGGGCAGCCCACAGCTCAGGTCTGCACCCCCAACTCTGAGGTCCGTTTCACTTTCTTCTTTCGGAGAACCTATGGCACACGTTACTGTGGAAAGTGCGAAGGAGTTTGCTGTTAGTGCTCTAGACCACTGCTCAAGTAATTCCAATGATTTCAAAAGGTTACTTTTTTGAGGCAGGCAGCAGACTTGTGTTTTTTTTTTTGCGGGGGGATCAAACTTGGGACCTTGTGCTTGTGAGGCAGGCGGCAGCACCTCTGAGCCAAACCCCAGGCCCTAAAGTTTTTGGACTAACTAGATACACACCATCTAAAAGGCAAAAAAGATTTAGATTTTTCCCCTACTGACATCACTGGCTTCTCTTGCTGTACTTTTCCTTCTTATGGGAAACGGATCTGATCTTACTCCCCTGTTGAACATATCTGAACCCCGCCACCTGCCCAGTCCCTCTGGTCCTCTCTGCTCATGGCCGAGCACCCGCGAGGACCTGGGATGGCAACGCGGCTGGGATGAGCACGAGGCCAGAGTAGGCAGCATCCTACGGTCACAGAAATGGTTTGCCTGGAGATGCCGGCCCGGCGCTGCACTGCCGGGCACTGTGGGTTGCACGAGGTGGCCCCAGCCACGTCTGTGCCGGTGCAATCTCAAGACTCCAGCTGAACCTCTGCGTTTGCCATTCTGCGTCGCCTCCCACTGGCTGATATGGATGACATTTAACTTTCTAAAGAGCTCAATAAAATACTTCCATGCCTTATTTCCCTTGCCAGGCTTTTCCCTTGGTGCGTTCTAAGGAGCCAGAACAAAGAGCTGTTCTAAAAGCTGTGGACTGGGGACACACGGCTGAGAGGGGAATGCTGCGGTGCACACCCTGGGGGCTCTGTCCTTCCCGCACAGGTGGGTGCTGGCCGGGAGGAGGGAGAGGGATGGAGGGTACGGTCAGGCCGGGGCAGCCTTGGTGTGAGGCCCTGGAGAGGCACAGAGCAGACGCTGCTGCCCCGGAGACGGCGGTGGGCCGGCTGGGGACGACCCCACGCAGAGGCGTGCTCTGTGAAGACGGCGCTCCACGTGCGGCGAGCTCACGGGGCTGCCCAGAAATCCCCATCACACCCCGCCACCACCTTGCGCCTGAGTGTCGCCCTTTGAGGAAGGTTTAGCATACAAATAATCGAGGCGCTCAGAACAACGTCAATGCTCATGATTGGATGTTTACGGGACAAACCCTGGACGTCCCAGGGCCACTCATGCTGTCCAGAGCGGCTGAGATGGCTCCGAGCTTCTCCTGATTCTTAAAGGACCGGGGTGGGACAGCAGTGCTAGTGGGTAGCATGTTTACAGAGAGGACAGTGTAACTGCCCAAATCTACCCGAGTCACAGAACGCTGCCCTGTAGAAATTCACTGCACAGGGAGCCAGCTTCTGGGAGAGACTGGGGATGCAGGACACACGGAGGGGGAGGAGGAAGCCCCACCTGGCCACACCAGTGGAGCGCTACAGGAGCACGGGCGACACATGGCTTGGGGCGGATCTGACTTTCTCAAGCAAGCCGCGCCTTACGCTATTGAACAGAGCCCCACTGAAACGTCATTAGAACAAGCACATATACTGCGGGGAATCCACTATACACGCACAGCTAGGAGTTCAACAGAGAAGGGGTCGCCGTGGTGGTTACTGATGCACTGCCATGTCTACTGTGATACCGCGGCGCACTCCTATCTTCCGAACTAGAATTCTCGCCGGGTTTACAAGAGCAATAAATGCTGCAGGAAGAGCTTCTGGAAATCATGAAATCCAGAAAACAGTGGGAAGAGTACTGAGGTATTTTTGAGCTCTGACACGGAACTTTTCAGGAGTATTTGACTCTTGTTCCCACTGTGAAAGCCCTGAGGCAAACATGACACCAAGAATCAAAGTGTCGAATATTTGGCTATTCCCGCGACAGAGCATGTCTGCTTTTCCCTTAACCGTTCGCTTTAACCACCTTAGCAGCATCACCGTGGCCCATTCCTAGCAGCTCTACAGGAAGCTTCCTCCGCTCCAACTGCCCCTGTCGTATTCTGCACCTTACCAAGTCTCCTGTGGCCTCACCGTCTTGCCAGGTACCAGAATCGCAAGCCCGAGCCGGACGCTGTCCAGAGACTTGCCTCCCGCGGCTGCCCCTCGGACACGTGGGCTCCACCCTCCCTCAGCCAGCAGTGGCTCTCTCTGTGAGCTGTGGCCCCGGGCCGGGCCGGTGCTGGCGTCCACCTGAGGAGAGCAGCAGCCTCAGCAGCGGGGAGCTGCCCTCCACCGGGTCTCCCTGCTGCGGCTCCCACGAGGTGGTGCCTTATCCTGAGCAGAACAAGTGGACCTGCAGCTAAGGGACGCAGTGTCGCCAGGTGCCACAGAGCTGACACATAGTCTTCAACAGTGCTGGTCAAGAAACTGGCCAACATGCAGGGAATGGAGATGCAGAGCTCTTTCCTGTCTTTAAAAGATGACCAATAAAGGTGGGGTTGAGCTACCGAAATATCTGCACCAATGTCTACTGAGGTTTTCCTGTTAACACCATCACCCAAACCTGACACACAAGCAGACACAGTGTGGAAGGTAAGTGGTGGTTTCCAGGTCCAGGGCAGGGGCCATGTGCAGCCACAGGTGAGGGGATGCCGGGGAAGGCCGGCAGGGTTGGGCCAGGTCCCGCCAGCCTAAGGCAGCAGAGCCGCCTGCGCCAGGGCAGAGAACAGAGGCCCCGTAGGCTTCGGGTTTTGAGTTTACTGCTGGATGCCAGAAGCCGTCAGGTGCCCTTCGCTGGCAGGCTGGCCTCCCAGGCGGGAGAGGGGAAACTTGCCCTCCTCTGGTTCACAAGGACCCCACTGCCATGAGTGTGGTGGTCACCCACTCCCCTCTCCAGAGTCTGGGACTCCAAGCTGTGGGCAGCAGTGGCAGAGATGAGCGTGAAGGTGATTCTGACCCCTGGGCCACGGAAAGCGAGTCTGAGTGCCAAGGAAAACCCGCAGGTCCTGCAGGGTGCTGAGGACAGAGGGCCGCGCAGCAGGAAGGACTGGAAGTCATGGGCGGGGCCTGCTCACTGGCGTGGGGAACAGGGCTGATGGCTCTGAGGGATGCGGGTCGCAGGCGGGGGCACCAGGACAGGGACACGGCTGGGCCGGGAGCACGGTGGGAGAAAGAGATGAGTGTGGAATCACATTGTCACACAGCCAGGGAAGGAAAAATGCTGAGGCTCAGGCCCAGGCTGAGACGTGGAGAGAAGAGGCCTGAACTTACTTTCTTTTAAGAGGAAGAAATTCCATGAAATGAACAAAAGCACAAGATTTGGACTTGAAACACCAGCAAGGCAGCCAGACACAGTCCACTCTCAGCCGTCCCTTCTCACATCACACACACTTGCACCTTCTGCTCCCTCCTCTTCAGAAACTCCGGAAACTGCACACACCCCTCAGCTGGGCTGCCCAGGAGGCCGAGGCAGGAGGAGCCCAAGATGAAGGAAAGGAAGAGGCAGGATGAAGCAGGGCGGGGCCAGCTCAGTGCAGGAGCCGCAGGGCGGAGGGCGGCTCGCGATTAGGAATGTGCCCTGAACAGCAGTAACAGGACACAGCCGCTGAGCTCACGCAGAGTCCTGTGTATAAGGACGCGGCCTTACCATGAATCAGGGACACCGGAGGGAGGGATGGGCACCAAGCAACGGCCGCAAACCGAGCGAGGGGACCAAGTACCGGACGACAGCAGCACCCAGCTCCACCACGGCACGCTTGCGGCATTACAGGAAAGGCCCCGCGAGAAAATTTTCACTTCCTTAAAAATTACAGACCCTTAGAAAACAGGCTGGCTAATTTCTCAAGGAAACGATTCCAACTGAACTCATGGTGGGACTAACAGCACTGCTTCCTACAGGGACGTGAGAACGCTCAAGGGAGGCTGGAGCATTTCTCCTTCAGAGCGCGCCATCAGCATGGAGACGCATGCAGGGCTGGGCCAGCCCGGGTTCGCACAGGACCCAGAGCCCTCCGACTGCGACTGGAGTGCGTGGTGGGGTTCCACGCGGAGGACTCGACCCGGGAGAGAACTCGCAAGCAGCCAGGTTCCCAGCCTGTGGTCAGTCCCCTCCTCCCGGTATCCACCCACTTTTGTCTGTACAAATGGCCAGGGCAAGGAAGAAACACAGCCCAAGGACATGAAACTAAAGCATCCTCATCCTACAGATGCCCACCGGCACCCAGGACTCACTCTCCTGTGCCAGGGAGGCCGACGACCTGCTCTGTTGGGGTTTCTTTCCACGGGGTGGTGAAGGCTCAGGCACAATCAGGATTGAGGGTGCAGTGGCAGAAAGGAAGGCCTAAGACATTTCCAGACGGAGAGGGGCATGGGCACAGGCAGCACTGCTCCATGTGCGTCCAGCC